AATGATCATTTGAATGCTGTTAACACTTATTTAAATATTATGAAAGAATGATGCTTTCCTCATGTGCATATTCTGGCAACAGATATGAACAAAGATGTCCACTGGAGGAGGAGTCTACGTGGTCCATAGCCATCAATTTTACATCAATTAAAATAACTGGCCCTGGCTCATGTGACTCAGTTGACTGGAGCATTGTCCATCCATGTAACAAAAGGTTTGGGGTTCAATTCCAGTCAAGGCACATACCCAGGTTATAGGTTCCGCATACATGAGGCAGCTGATTGATGTTTCTCTCTCACAATGATGTTTCTGTCTCTCCCCCTCCTCCCTCTCTAAAATCAGTAAACGTATCCTTGGGTGAGGATTAAAAAAATTGGAAGGGTTCTCCAGAGTTTGTGAGGTCACAGTGAACAAATGACATATTATATGTGGTACATTCTGGATTTTGATATCCGTGCCTCTTTCCTAGGAGTTGAGGAGACTTGTCAGACTGGTATGGCTGAGCAGGTGACACCGGCCACACCTTCTCTAGTCAGTTCTCTCTGTCCTATGCTAGTTGGGCTATAAAGCAACTTCCTTGAACCAGGACTTTTGCTGCTAATTCCAACAAACAACCAAAAACCAACCAAACAAACAAAAAACTCCACCAGTCTCTATGAACCTGCAGTTTCAAAAAGTTTGAATGTGAAATGCAGGTCTTCATTAATTGTATTTAATACAGTTGCTTTCTTCCAATGTTTCAGCAAAAATGCTTACTCTAGCTATTTCTTATTTTGGAAGTAGCCCATCTGTCTCTGTTTCTCTCTGTCTCTCCTTCTGCTTTCTCCTCCCCTCATTCCCTCTCTTCCCTCCCTCCCCCAGTATCTTTCTCTCCCTCTTCCTCCTCTCCTCTCCTTTCTCTCCTTCCTTACCCCCTATCCCTCTCTCTTCTCCTTCTCCCCATCTCTCTCCCACTCTCCTCTTTTACGCCTTCCTCCCCCTTTTCTCCCTCCTCCCTCCACGTTGCTTTAGCTTTCTCTGAGTGTTCCTTGCAAAGATGCCTCTGTACTCTGCTCCTTTGCAGCAGTGTGTGTGTGTGTGTGTGTGTGTGTGTGTGTGTGTGTGTGTTGTGGGGAGTGTTACCCTGATCTTTTTGGGGGAAGATGAGCTTTCCTGGTTGTGGCAGTCCGAGGTGCCTGGTCCTTCTTGTGACACCCCTCCAGCCTTCCCCACCACCCTAGCAGCCTGGGTAGGG